TAACGAAACCGTTGTTCTTTCAGGATACTCACTGATCAATAAATACGGTGAATAAATTTTTATACCGGCAATTGCTGATGCTACAGCCATATGTTGTAATTTGTCCAGTAGCGTGATCAACTGAGACAGGCAGCGACAAGTTGTAACACGTTCGAACTTGTCAGTCAGCTGCCAGAGCCGCTAGAGTGAGGTTGTGTTTATCGTGTCTGTCGCGCAACATGGATTTCGAACAACGCATTAACATTAAGTTTTGTTTTAAGTTGCAAAAGAGTGCTAAAGAAGCTCATGAATGTTAAAATCGGTGTACGGCGATAATGTAGTAACTCTAAAGACTGTGTACAAGTGGTATGACCGATTTAAAAACGGAAATGAGTGTGTTGAAGACGAGCAGCGTGCGGGACGTCCAGTCACTTCAAAAACAGATGAAAATGTGCAAAAAGTGGAAACAATGGTTCGTTCAAACAGGCGACTGACTATTCGAGAGCTATCGGAAGACCTTAACATCTCGTATGGCTCCGTTCAAAGCATTTTAACCGATGAATTGCATATGAGACGAGTGAGCGCAAAATTTGTTCCCAGACTTTTGAGTGCTGAACAGAAGGAAATTCGTGTGTCAATTTGCACGGAGTTGAAGGATCGTCTTCATGCAGATCCGGACTTTATGGCCAAAATTGTGACTGGAGATGAAAGTTGGGTCTATGGCTATGACCCTGAGACCAAAATGCAGAGTTCCCAATGGAAAACCAGTTCATCTCCTCGCCCTAAAAAGGCACGTCAGTTAAAATCAAACATCAAGGTCATGCTCATTGTTTTCTTCGATAGTGAGGGCATAGTGCGATCAGAGTTCGTTCCAAGGGGAACAACTGTAAACTCGGAATTTTATAAGGGCGTACTGCAACGCTTGCGAAACGACATACGAAGAAAGCGGCCAGAAAAATGGGCCAATGGCTTCCTTCTTCACCATGACAATGCGCCGTGTCACACCTCGCTTCTCATTCGTGAGTTTTTGGCAGAAAAAAATGTTCCTGTCTGTCCACATCCGCCATACTCACCGGATTTAGCACCGTGCGACTTCTGGCTCTTCCCAAAAATTAAAACTGTGCTTAAAGGAAAACGTTTTGATACCATTGCTGACATTGAGAGGGCCACGACCGAGCAGCTGAAAGCCCTTCCAAAAGATGCCTTCCAGAAATGCATCCAGTCATGGAGTCAACGTTGGAATAAGTGCATTGCAAGCCAAGGACAGTACTTTGAAGGGGATTAAATCAGATTCTATGTAAGCGTAATACTTTTTTTAATATAACATTATTCACCGTATTTATTGATCACACTATGTATGTTGGATATTTAACGCAAAGACACGATTAGATTCGGTTAGGTTAGGTTAAGTTAGGTTTAAAACATTTTCCTCTCAAAATTACTTTCGAGGTTATGAAAATTCGAGCAAACGTTATTTCGGGAAAGTAATAATAATAATAACATAATAATAACGCACACACTCAACATAGCCCCGCACTAGGGAAACCCTGTGTCGCGGGTGCCATGAACACACATAGACAACCACAAATTACACCCAAACTCACGAGAGAAATAAATGTAGGCCATACAAATATTTCTCCCGGCCCGGGAATCGAACCTGGGACCTCTGCGTGGCAGTCCGGCATGGTAACCTTTCGGCCACAGAGGCAGTTAAGTATCATTTCGGACTACTGATAGGTAACCCCAGCACCACTACCCTTCTAAATTAGAACGCAGTAACACTCACATTCCTGATTGGTGACAGAAATAAGTAAGGTAGCGGTATTTCCCTGGACTAACTCTTTCACGAGGAGATCTACAACAATCAAACTGCTATTTTGAAATTGCTATGCAATAGAATGCATCTCTTGGACACCTTATGGTGGCCTTGTACCCGAGCACAATTTACAAGTATCAAAACACATAAAACACATAATTTTCCCAAAAAGTTTCAACGCCATAGCACCAATTAAAAACATTTTAAAACAAATTAAGGCCAAACCACACAATAGTGTGAACGTGACGTGGGAGCCGCTTTAATGCTTAACGTAATATAATATCTTGTTAGGTTTGTATTGCAGATATGTTGATGTATGTACGAATTATTGTTTGATTTTACGCATGTTTGCACATATTGTAACAAAAAGTTTCGAATCTTTTTGTTACAAAATAATTCTGATCATTTTGTTACAAAATGATTCGGAACTTTATGGTTTCGCATTTGTTAACATGGCTATATGTATTTTAATTGGTGATGCACTTATCTAAATTTGAATAGTTGCGAAAACAATATTTAGTGTATGACATGACATATTTATTATTAAAAAAAATCTTGTCGCTTAGTAAGTAACACGATTAAGTAAAGAATTGCCGTTTTTTAAACTCTCATCATCAGCCGGAAGATCACTGCTGAATATACCCAAAAATTTCCAGACTACAAGACAGACAGTACAAACAGCTTGTATCATAATGTAATAGAAACTATATTAAATCATTACAAGCAAAAACAGTTCCCCACTGATAAAAATACAATATCAAAATACAGTATTGACAACACTAATCAACTAAATAACATTGTACACACACACACACACATGACACATTATAGAAGCAAAGTGACATTATGCAAATGAGCTCGCTATAGTAATAAAAAATTAGTTAGATAATACTTTCTTAACGTACGTATTTTACAGATATTGTCTTATTACACCTGGGGGTGCGATTTCAGAAGACAAAGAATCCTGCATTCTAAACTCGTAGATAAATGTGTTCAAACATTATTTAGGTTTTTCTCATAAAAAGAATAGTTCAAATATACGTCTGATCTTAGAATAATAACGCATAGAATGATAGTTTCATAACAAACGAACTGTCACAAGTGAGGCAAAAATCAAATTCATGTAGGCTAGTTTTAGTAGTAGGTTAATTCTCGATTTTAGTGAATATTTATATAAAAATACAAGTTGAAACGCGTTACTTACTTCCTTGTGGAATGTAATGTTAGTATCTATTTTATGTTTGTCTGACGTATTTTTAGACTCATTTACCGCACATTTTGTCATTTTTAGCTAATATTCTTTATCTGTTCGCGGTGCAAGTTGACCGTGAGCACTGAAGGCCCGTCCGCTCGTGTAGGCACATTAGGAGCGCTTCAATTTGCCCTTACTTAGCGTGTGCGGACTAGGTTTCTATGCGTTATTATTCTAAGCGTCTGATATTAAGTATTTACAGGTATTATAAAAAATAAATATTTCTTTATTTAGGTATACACCCATTAATAAATTTGTAATGTAATGTAACATTTCTTATTAAATTTAATTTTATTGACGGAAAATTATTATTATTTAAGTAAATAATTAAGAATTAAATTAAATTGAATTTAAATTGCAAATAATAGTATAATTAAAATCAATTTATTTAAAACTGTTCGCTTACAAAGCAGCACGTATCGCATACTGTTCTTACAATAATATTGACGGAATCGCTCACTCTCCTGAGAAAAGACCGATATCTCTTTCATATTATGGCGAAAAAATTATCTACTCTATTCACGACTAACTACCTACTACACCGCTAGGGAGGCTGCAATATTATAAATAACGGTTTCCAGGAGTGAGTCCCTTCTTAGGAACAACTGCCCGGACCTTCCGCATATAGGGTGAAATTGTATTGGCGACATACAAGGTGAAAATAAAAATCTTCTGAACCATTTGGAGTTTCACTTGGCTTGTTTTGGTAACCTCATCCAACGGAAGAAAGAAACCCCCTCCTTTACATACTTTAATTTTCTCTATTAAATCAGTAGAAAAAAAGTATAAAAATATTATTACTGCGTATAAAGGGCATAACTAATTTAAATAATACGACTTAATATTTGATTCACGGATAGAACAAAAAGGCACAATTCGACTCATCCGTAGAACAAAGATCTATGTGCAAGACTACTTGTTCTCAGGATATACTACATTTCGTTCGTTTTTCTTCGCTGTGGATGTTAGATCGACTGTTGATGATTTTAAATTTCTAAAAAGACCTGTACCTTATGTACATAAATTCTCAAAACACCTTGATATGGGCCTTAGTTTGAATAACGAAATTATTCTCGTAATGTACCTATTCTCTTTTCGCTATATAATCACAAAGGACTCTGTTCTTCGGATGAGTCGAATTGTATTCAGTTGTATAATATGCGTCAAATATGCCTTTTTATAGTAAAAAATGTAATTATTAATGTCAGTTGTGCCCTTTGAGCTTGCACAATACCTATTCAACAATTATTGAGATACGCTACGATAAGGTTGCTAATCCTTTATCGTCGCCTTACTTTCTCAAACTCGTATATTAAACCACAAAGTTAGTGAAGTGCAAAACATGGATTGTATGTACAAATTTTGCAGGCTGATTCCACCACACATTTCCTTCATATTCACTGGTTTTTACCTTTTCTTAAAGTAATGCATCGAAATTAACACCCTTTATAGGAATTTTAAAATAAATCGAGCGTTCTGCCATCTCCTGTATAATCACTCTCTGTAAGATACGAGTTTAAGAAAGTAACTCATCAATCTTTAATGCTAAATCTGTATTTGTGTTATATCAGTGAATAAAGTGTTTATCTATCTATCTATTTCTACAAAAAAAAATTGGTAGAATGGTCCTTCTGAACTGAATTTTCTTAAAATGTTAGTTGTACCCATTTTCGTTCGGAGTGCAGAACTCTGCAGCCTAGCTGGACAGCATCAGGAATGACGTCATTCGATTCGGACAGATTACATGACGATGTCATATAAGCGATCCGGTGGAGAGAGTTTAGAAAAGTAGTCATTTTGCAGATGTGGCCTTATTAAATCAAGGTTACGAATTGCCTATTCTACCCGCAGCTGCTCAAATGTCCGTGATCACGATGCATGCGACTGTGTCGAAACACGAAATGGAAGGTATGGGGTAAAAAACACCGTAAAATTATGTTAAATTATCTTTACCTGTAGTTGAAGCTCTCGCAGTGGAACCTTCTTTCCTCGGCGCATTCTCGCCTGCAATCTTCTAGTCTTTCGCAGGGCATCACTTTTTTTACATGGCTGCGGAGAGCACGCTGGCCTGCGAGGACCCGACGGAAACATGCTGTTGAAAGAGGCCAGTGTTAATTAATAAATAAATATATATAAATAAAGTCGCTTTTCCGTCGAACCGAAGCAATGTTTCTTTTATTTTTATTTTTTTCATATTTTTCTTGGTTGACAATTTTGCACATTTGCATGCTTAAAATTTTATAATTAAATACGTTATTTTTTTTAATAAAATAACTTTTTTTAAATAAGTTATTTAAAATGTACTTGAAGCATTGGGAACAAACAAGTGCGTTCGGCACCCAAAGTCCGTTTTGATGCTATTGCATCAAAACATGCAAAACACTATCTAGTACATTGTGACAAAGATTCATTTCGATCTCCCTTCTAGATGGCGTAATTTTCATTCATTTAGAAGGTGGCGCTCCGCCCTTGTGGCATAGATTATAAATGTGCGTTTGAATTTCGGACCCGTTACCACCTGTAGTTTACAAAAACTTAATTTTAATGTAAAAAACGTCAAATTCTAATTGTTATTCTAATTCTTTAATGCGTATCATATCGTACATTTGTAGTTGTTAAAATGTTGTTATGAACCAAACCTGAACCCTGCATGGGCGCTACTGTCTTAAAAATTTAATTTATTTGTTTACATACAACAAAATAAATAAAATTAATCCATACAAAATTTAAAATTACATACAATACAATAATATAAGGCAACTTAATGTCTGCAACGAGCGACTTTATCCTCAACATGGAGCACCTAGGAGGCCAGTGAGACCTGTTGAAGATGATACTGTCGATTCACGTCAATCCAGCAAATTCAACGAATGATTAAAAATACGTTTAAATTTTATTCAATGTAATTTTTAAATAATATTGATTCAGAATTTATTTCCGTAAAAAACAATAATATACCGAACGCCCCATTAATTTACCGGTTTGGTGCAACAAGGTGCGGATAACATAACGAGAAAAATAATTATTTTCAAATGTTTCTAATTATTTTAAAATAATAATAACACCTGAATCTTTTAGCTAAATCATGTGACAAATAAATAATAAAGTATATAAGAGTCATATTATAAATATTAAAAAGATATAAGATGTTAAAAATTTATTTTCAATTTTCTCGAATCTCACTTTTACGTTTCTTACACCCAATGCTTCAATTATATTTAGTATATTTTAATAAACATTGGGGAACGTGGATTTATTATACCAACGGTACGATATTAAGAATAATCGAAGAAAAACTGTATCTGATAAACGATTGCTTCGAGATGAATGATGCTTCGTGACGTCACTATGTCTTCTAACAAAAAATAAGTGTTCTGAACGCACTGCGTTTTCCAGCGAATGCTCAATTAGTGACCCTTCTGTTACCCCAGCCAGCACCTCACAAAATACGTTTATAATTCGTTTTTTATTTTAAAAATAATTTGTTCTTATTTTTGTTTTGTTGTGATTTTATTTTATTTTTTCTCATATTTTAATTTCTGTTTCTATGCTGCTTTTTTTCTAATTTATTTTTTGTTTTCATCTGTGTGGTAATAATTTTTTTCTTTCTTTCCCTTTTTAATCGACTTCAAAAACAAGGAGGAGATCCTCAATCCGACTGTATGGTTTTTGGAACCGATTTTGATGATTCTTTTTTTGTTGGAACGAGGGTACCTCAGTAATGGTCCCACTTAAATAGAAAATAATATTCCACCTCTAAGGGTGGCGAACTTGGGGATTAATGATTTTTAAGGTCGATTTTTATAGTACCCCGTACAGAGTATTCTTTTTTCAAATACTTTCTCTGTGTTATGGCGACGAGAAAAACAAACATACACATTTTTTTTTGTCGTGTATTGTACAGTCAAGTGTAGAGCACATCAATCTTGACACTCAGAATTTAGGTTCTTATCCTAAGCGGTATAGAGTTGAATTTAAAACCATGACGTGTTCTTGACCCTGTACGTAATACCAGTAATACCTAACATTCTATTACTGTATGACGACGTCACTGTGACGTCATCTCTTTACTGTTACACTTTTAATAACACATGAAAGGTGGATATCTCTTTGTCAAATTAAGATAGTATCATAGACTACTAAAGTGGCAGTTTAGCAGCACTAGAGCTTCTTGTGAAAGAGTTCGTCCATGGAAGTACTGTCACTTTACCTATTTCTGCTGCCAAACAGTAATGTGAGCATTACTGCGTTCCGGTTTCGAAGGGTAAGGGGTGCTGGTGAAATTACAGGCACGTGGGACTTGTCAACTTATGTCTCAGGCTCACAGGCGTAGTGTTGAGTGCTGAGTGGCACTGCAACTGTTATGGACAGGCGTGTAGCTTACCATCGGGCGCACGACTTGTCCATCCCGTCATTTGATATTATTAAAAAAAAAGATCGAACCGCGAAGTATTCAACAGACCCAGGATAATGTTGAGATATCTGGAGGAGCTCAGATGGCACGAGAAGGACCTGCGCCCACCATTTGCACAAAAGGCGCCTAATATACCATACCATGGTAGCAGATAGCGATCGTATTGAATGACCTAGCATAATAATAAGACACACGCTCAGCATAGCCCCGTACTAGGGTAACCCTGAGTCGCGGGTGCCTTGGACACACATAGACAACCACAAATTGCACCCAAACTCGCGAGAGAAATAAATGTAGGCCATACAAATATTTATTTATTATTATTTCCATAACTCAAGTGCTTTTAATTACTTACTTTGGGATCAGAGCAACGTATTTGATGTTGTCTAATATTTATTTATTTAAGTAAGATTAAAATAAATATGACCTAATGCTGTTTTAGAATAAACTGCAATTATTTTTTTTTTCTTCTTGTTACTATGAAAGAGTTAGATCATCCTTAGTTTTATCTCGACTTTTGCTAGGTTACCAAGGTTATTTTCGTGTTTTTTGTCTTGTCCATCCGGTAGTACCGCTACAATCGTAAATCGGTTAAAAAAACCCCGCCAAGTGCGAGCGTAAAATTAGCGCTCTGAGGGCTTTGTATATTATTTATCTTATTGTACTATCTTCGTTAACAACAGTACACTAATTTAATATAGAATTACAATTCAGAAAATTCACAAATCGTGTCTGTGGCCTCGCGAGACAGGGTTTCCCTAGTGCGGGGCTGTGAGTGTGTGCGTTATTAGATTTCCTACATTGACTCGATTGGGGATCGCACCCGGGACCTCAGAGATTGACCTGCGTACCAACAACGTTGTTTATTATTAATACTAACATTATTAATACAAATATTATTTTTTTGTATTTTTCTTTTTCTTTTCTTCGTTTGTGTATGTGCAATATGTGAATTAAATACGTATTCTGTTGCGCCCTCAATTAATTTGTTTTTACAGTTTCTACTGTAACCCAAAGGCTGCCTGGAAGAGATTGGCTATTTAGCCATAAGGCCGCCTGTTTGACCCGTAGTTTTTTTTGCATTATTATGTATTTGCCCCAGTGCGCAATAAAGAATGCTTGTACAGTATTGTCTTGTATTATTGATACAAAGACCGAAGAAACACAAAGAAAAACCCCTTCATTCATTCATTCGATCTGACTGGACGCAACGCCGTGATAGCCTAATGGTTTGACCTACCGTCTCTCAAGCAGAGGCCTTGGATTCGAATCCGGGCTGGCACCTCTGAATGTCTCGGAATTTATGTGCGAAATTCATGCAAACATGAGGTTTCCGTTGAATGACAATACGTGATTAAACTTGTGCGTGAAAGGTTCACAACGTGGGAAGTCCCTAACCCGTATAGGGCCACAGTGACGGACAAAGGCCTAAAACTCTGGCACGAGAATGGAAAATGTAGTTTTATTTCACTTCATTTCATTTTTAGTAAAAAAATCTCGTTTATAAACACCAAAACTTGACCTGTATTTTTTATACCTACACATACCTATATTTCCACAAACTGTTGCATCATGTAGGTCAACAATGCACAAAATTGCACTATTACAATAATCGTTTAAATCTGGACTGCATTTCCATGAGTTTGACCTTAAGTGTAACAATGACATGCATGTTTTACTCGACTACTATAGAGTTAAAAGCTAGGTAACGTTAAAAACGGAGATTTAGACGTTTTCGAAGAGGATTTTAGATGTATGTCAAGAGATTTTAACATCTTGACAACAGATTATGTAAAAATAAAATTATTCGACCGAGTATCGTACAACCAACACTCCTGACATAGCCTCGTAGGGCCGTATTTCAGAACTGGAAATACGACTCTAATGGCAAGGACTTGATGATAACTAGTGCTTGAAATCATACTCAAATCCTGACTTGAACATTAAGTAGAGTTCTGGAATACGACCCGTAGAGAGGCGAAACACGTGTCGGGTATAGTTTTGGTGGTGAAATCTGTGTCTCTAGTTGCGTTTGTGTTATTTACTTTATTAGTTTTAAAACGCAGCTATTTTGGACAATACCTGGGACTTATACCTCGGTAACGGGCGCTGTGCCAATGCCCCTCAGATCTTTGCGATTTAAAGCTCTTAGTGGCACTACAGCTGTTATATACAGGCGTGGGGCATTACTATCAGGTGCATGATTTGTACATGTCCGTCCCGTCATTTGGTATTATAAATAAAAAAAGGTACCTCCACAGTGTTTGCGTAATCACAAATTGATTTACTTCCATTTTTAACAGATTTAAGCACATAGGAAACGTATTTATTTATCTAATAGGAAGTAAACGTATTTATTTAACTAAATCAAACTACTGAAGACCAATTGTTAGAAATCCTCACAAATAGCAATATAATAAAGAACCTTAGTGGACAATTTAACTAACCTATCGCTTAGAAAGTATACCGCTGTTAAAATAATTCTCACTATGATTCGAAGAAGTGCCCACTCAGTGCACTCCTTCTCGAAGTCACACTCATATTGCCAGGATCCAGATGAAAAGTATAACAGTGCTAAAATTATTGCTTACACGCCATATACACTCTTATAGAAATTGCACCCTTTTGATATAATAAGCTCATATCTGCAAAAATTAAAGATCGACATTAGTCGATAA